TACTTGGAAGCATGCTGGGGTAGTGTAGATTCCAATTGTTCAAATTATGACCTCTGGGGATAGGGCGGGGTCACAATAAGTACTACCGGGGGGGGGGGGGGAGAAATCAAGTGAAAAACAGCAAGGCCAAAGTTACTCAGGTGAGCGCTGTGGCCCATGGGCCTCTTGTTTTTTTTTTGGGGGGGGGGGGGGGCACAGCCACGTATTTTTAGTTGGGGGGCACTATCAACTACCAAAAATTCCTTGACAAGTTAAAAAAGACGTTTTTCTTGAGGGTACACAAATATATATAGTAGCTATGTTTTCTATAGTAATCTATACCCCCCCCCCCCCCCCCCGGTTCCTACGGCCATGGGAACTAACGTTAGAAAAATATGTACATGTACTAAAATGTACATTTGTTTCAGCCAGTATCACAAGTTCTAACAAGTGAGCATCAAATCGGCGCAACCACAAAATTAGGCATTTTCAAAAAGTACTTCTACAACATCAAATAAGCATCAAGAAAAGCGGACTGTCTTCAAAGCTAAATAATAATTTTAAAAAACAAACAAATACACACACCCTCGCACAAATTGCAAAATAAATAGAAATGGCGTGTGCTTTAAACAAATGGATTCATCGATATAAAAATCTGATAAATGATAAGATTCAGTGATCTTCAGATGATTTTCTTCAACAGCACGTGGAAAGCAAGAAAATTTCTTGCTTTTCACGTGCTGATATCCTGGATCTTTTGTCACGTGATGAGGCCGATGATTTCTGCAGACTATGCTGCACACAAATGCAAAGTGTAGAAAAAATAATCGTTGTAAGATTCGTAGTTGTGGCATATTCAAAACAATTTTTTACTAGTTCTACCAACTTTTCATTTAATTTCAATTGCAAAACGATATAACCGAATACAGTTATAGTGCTTTGAGAAGGGGGGTCAAATAGTAGGAAAAGTTTTTTGTTTGTTTGTTTTTGTTTTTTTTTTTTTATCAGAAGCATTTATATTTCAAACATTTTACGTCGAGTGCAAAGCAAGTGTAATGAACTGTTAATATAATACATTTGAAGGGAGAATGTTAAAAAATGTCTATTAATGAATCCATTTTTCTTTCCAACACTCCAGTGAAATGGCACATTTTTTGGAGATAAAAAGGGATGATTATATTTTTCATTTTTAGATTCTGCATCAAGAGTAGCACACAAAATGTTAAAAAAATCAATAATTATTAACACATAGTATTGACTGTGAATGCTTGGAAATATACTGTACATGTACATGTACTCAATCAATAAATAATCCAAATCTCTGTCCCAGATCCCAAAATAGGATAACTGCAAACAACAATGCAAATGTAATAATCCCAGTTTATTAGATTTTGCGTCATTATTACCTTAGGCGTTGTAGAACATGAAACAAAACCAAATTAAGTTGCTAGTGTTTTACAGATACAATTTGCATGGATACTGAAGTTCTTTGCAAAAAAAAAAAGAATGTTTCATTTTATGGAAAAAGTATTTCCAAAAGTGCATTCAGATAGTCTAACAAGCATGATTCAAGGAAACTTTCGATGTATATGCGAGTTATCAGAGCGGACAGGTTTCCTTACGTAGTATGAACTGTCCAGATGACACTTGAATACATTGTGATATACTAAAGCTTCCGTCAAAATTATTTAAGAATCTATTGTAATGGAGTTACAAAATAGCAAGAAGAAGAAAAAGAAACGAGAATAAAACGGCTTATCACTGGTTCTTGAAAACAAATGAATCTGCGACTTATTTTATGGCTAACCGCAAATATTTAAATCGGATGTTAATCAAACTAGGGGGTTACTGATATGACATATATATCTCGTTTAACTAAAACTTCCAATATATACTTCTAAACCTTTCCCCCAGAGAATTCCATTGCAAGTGAATTTATGGATCTACTTGGTAACAGAGATATTTTACCAATCGACACAGACATTTATAAGACAAGAATTCAATTCATTATGCATACTAGTGTGTTATAGTTTACGTCTAATTGGCTATATCAATTCTTATGTCCATTTCCTTATATATTAGCAATGATAAATTGTCCTCAATATGACTTTAAGGAAATATTCCGATAGTGTTTAAGAATGGAAAATCTCCTTCACTGACCAACAATGAGCACGATTACTTGAAGTTGATTATCTTTCCAATTTCGGATCTCATATAAAAAAAAACTTTAAACATTAACGATTTTGCAACAATCATTTACTGCATATATGTACAATTTGCATTTCAATTAATATTCACATTTTAAAATAAACATATGCACCTCAATTTCTCTGACGTAGATTGCATTTACTCATTGAAACTGACTCATTTTTGACATTAATAATAAAATGAAATAGTATGCATGTAGGTTTTCATGCATACTTATTTATTAATGCATGTAGATCTGCAGATTTCGGTTTGTAACCATTGATAGATCAATTTTGTATTCACAAATACCTGTGCAGATTTAGGCAAATATATTCAACTTTGTAAATACATGTTAACATGGGACTAATATTAAATGTCATTAGTTGCAAGGAAAGTGTTGCAATTCTTTTACTTTATCCCTTACTATTGTTACAGTTTCAAATATGAAAATCATATACATGGTGAATTGCATTAAATTTGCAGCAAATGTCTCTTTGCCGCATGATTACACGAAGGATAATTTGATAAGCTCACCCCATCACCAGTTTGTAAATTACAACTGAAAAAAGGCAAGGGAACACAAATTCTTGATGTAATTTGTATGGAATCCGGATAGGGCCACGTAGTTCACTATCGCACCATCGAGCATCGACTAAAGTGTCGATGGCGCGATCATGCGATAGCGCTATGACGATGAAGCGATAGCGCGATGACGATGACACGCGCTCTATCGTGCTACCGCACCATCGTCAGCGCATTGTCGCGCTATCGCATCATCGTTATCGCGCTACTGTGCAATACGATGATGCGATGGCGCGATAGAGCGATAGTAAACATCGCTTCATCATCAACGTACCATCGCTTTATCGTTATGGCATCATCGTGTCATTGCTATCGTACTATCGCGCTGTATATCGCTTCATCGTGCCATTGAATTATCGTCATCGCATTGTCGCGCCATCGCATCTCGTCATCGAACCATCGCTTCATCGACATCGCATTATTGCGTAATCGCACGATCGACCCAAACGATGATGCGATAGTGAACTACATGGCCATATTCGGATTCCATAAGTATGAGTAATTTTCCACCATTTCTAAAATCTGCTCCCTTAAAACAAAAATGTTTATATAGGTCCTTTCTTTGTCTACTGTTCTACCACTTTGAAATTTTGTTTAAATTACGCATATGCACACGTTCTTTCTTAACAGTTTTTCTTTCTGTTTGGTTGAATAGAAAAAAATATCACACATATAGTCTAAATTATAGGTGCTTGTTGAAGGTAGGGGCAAATGAAAAGTATGGAAATAGGAGGGGTATGAGAAGGGAGAAATGAGACTGGAGAGGAGAGACTTGGAGGCAGTGACGCGAATGGGAAGGAAGAAAAACTAGAGCAAATATTCAGTTGAAACAGAAAGGTTGAGACACCGAAGAAAACTCCTAGCGAAATCAGAGATATTTTCATTTTGTGTTAAAGGACCTTATAACTTATACAAAACCACCAGTTTTCAAACTCATAATATCCAACAAACTATAAATAACCATGTATTCAACTTTGTACACTGAGAGAGAGAGAGAGAGAGAGAGAGAGAGAGAGAGAGAATTAAACTAGACGTTTATGTCTTATTTTTACTTTTTTTTATTTTTACATCTTGCATGTCGGTTGTCGTGTCACCGCTGATGCAACACAATGCACTAATATTAAAAAAATAAACACATGTAGGGACAAGTATGAACTTTTGAACGATTAGCAGTGTATATTTAAGGAATCACTGTCTAGTTAGTAGAGTATGCCAGGGCATCAACGATGGTTGGAAACGTGGGATAATTTGCATAACGGGCTTCGCCCGTTCTGCAAATTATCCCACGTTTCCAACCATCGTTGATGTCCCTGGCATACTCTACTAACTAGACAGTGATTCCTTATATTTCCATTTCATTGTGAAATAAAATTGTAAATTTAGATTTTAAAAATGTAGACTAATAGATTTAAAAATTACACGAGGCCTCACATGTCAATTTCAATAGTCCCCGCCCACTGACGTCAAACACAAAGACAGCAGCATGAGAATTACATGCATATTAGGCCTCCTTAGAGTCAGACACAAAGACAGCCGCACGAGAATTACATGCATATTAGGTCTTCTTAGCTCCTGACCTTTTGCTTGGCGAAATTTGCATTCCGTTGGAATGATCAAGAAATCAACTCTCCTAACTTTCAAAGAGTTATCACAGAAAAAACAAATAGAAATGGAAATATATAAAGTTAAGTGTTTTTGAAACGCTTCACAGCATTAAAAATATTGTTTTTTTTTATTTTTTGAATAAAATAAACACGAATGACCATATAATTTTTTTCATTATAGCTTTTTGCAAAAACAGAGTAATTATAAATCACTAATTGCAGCTTCTAAAAATCTTATTTAACAAATCGAAATATCGCAGATATATAAATAAGACCTAGGGGAATTCCACTTTTACTGCACCGTCTTCGTTAAGTTGCGGTTTCCTGAGGTAAACATTGTGTTAACCAACTGTCAAAGCAAAGGTAAAAGGGTTGAAAAATGCGAAGAAAATGAAATATATAATACTTAAAATGTCGTATTTATATTGAAGCTGAGGAAGTAACAAAGGTTAGTTGTTTTAAAAGCTATCTTAATTTCATTGCATTAAACACCCCCTATTTCTAAGAAAAGGCAAGTGTGGCATAAATTTAGAAACTTGTCAACATATATATATCATATATGATAAAAATGAGGCAGTTAAAAGCTTTAGAGATGTTCAATCGCAAAAAAATATACTGTTCCATAATTTGAGAAACAAAATGAGAGGATTTTAATGAGAGTCAAAATAATTTAATTCAATATATTTACATATATATTTTATACGTAAGTCACATGAAAAAAGACTAGAGGCACATTAAAGAGGTAAAAAAAAATTAAATCACAATGAAATGTTCAAGCCTCAATCAAGTGCTTGAACGTAGCACGCTGTGACTCACATTTTATTAATGAGACAAGGAAGGGGAAGATCGAAGGAATAAACACCATCTTAAAAACAGAGGTAGAACACGCAAATAGTCCGCCATATAATGTGTACATAATTTAAGCAAGTGACATAAAATATCAGTAGAGGAAATAATATACAGGAGGGATCTTGTGGACCAGCACAGCCAGAGCAAACCAGGAATTCACGATCCTTTTGTGTCTTCCATGTATACAGTCAATGTTTGCTGCTTAATCGAACACTCCTTATTTTTGTTTATGTCTCATTCAATCACTTCTTTCTTTTCATGAATGAAGAAGGGAAACAATAAACTTCGCAGAGGTCACAGAAACGTGATTTAATCGTAAAAATAGAATTGAGTACTATCTTTTTTTAAATATAAAACTCGATATCAAACAGGTGTGTCATTCATAAAATGTTCGCAAAGTTTTTTGTATCTTTTCTTTAGTTCGTCAGTATATTGTTCAAGGCATGTGGTTACGATGGTCGACCAGCCAAGTCGGTAGAATGTTGTTGTCCGAGAACTCCCGAATAGTTTTGGATATCCAATCGATGTAGTATGAAACTTTGCTGTATACTCCCGGGAAGTTGACGTCACCGCAATTTAAGCCAATAGACACGATTCCTACTTGTGTCCAGTGGTCACCTCGGCGACACACAAGAGGACCACCCGAATCTCCCTTAAAAAGGAAAAAAAGAAGAAAATCACAGTTAATAATATTAACTCTTCATCCCGATCTGCAGTTGGTTAACATGTGCTACGTCCAGAATTACAAGTTCAGAGAAAAAAAACCTGTAGGTACATGTTCTTTATCTTACCCAACATGAATCCTTTCCGCCCTGTTCCGTAGCAGCACAGAGCACAGAATCTTGTATGGACACGGCGGCCTTGGCAAAGTGATCAGCAGGCAGACGTCTGTAGCGGTCATCACAATCCTGGGGCTGAATTATGGGAATTTCGGCATGAAGAGGAAGCTTGACGCCTGTGCCAACTGAAATAGAGAAGCCATAGTACACATCAATTTTTGTAACCAGTGGTCTCTGATAAGACTGCTGCTCCACTGGTGTATTGGGGAAGAATAAAAGTTGCAAGCAGACTTGTAACATTTCTTTGAAACATTTTTACAGACAGACAAAAAGACTGGCAGACGACGGATAGTTTAGCAATTGGTCTTTAAGCAATGAAGCTAAAAGTTTTACTTTGCCATGACAATATTTAAAATTTCTGCACATAGTTTGTTACATTATAATCACATGTACAATTAATTCTAGATTTATTTTTGGCTAAAAGTAGATCCCCCCTTCCCCCAGTTATAACCTTGGTCATCACCATGGTTCATACACGTACAATATAGGAAGCGGGTTTGTATCAAATAAACATGTACATAAATACGAAAATACTATTAATATGATGTGTATTTGACCAAGCAATTATCAAAAACTGTATATATAAAGAATAACTGTTTAGTTTGGGGGTTTCATAGGTTACAAACTGCTCCTATCAACTCATTATACTCATAGATCATTGTATTTTTTTTCCCTATCTCTTTCCTTGCATTTTTTTTTTTTAAAATGTTTGTTTAATTAATGTTATTCAGTGTATTTACCTTGACCTTGCTGTAGGGAGAGGGCTAAAATAGGCTAGGCCTGTTGCCTAATCCCATTCACTTCATGTGAATAAAATTATGTATAAATTAAAAAAAAAATACTCATAGATCCCACTTTTATAAACAAACGAACAATCAGACAAAGAAAAAAATCGTCACTTCTATTCAAAATTGTAAAATTTAATAAGCTCGACCTCAACGTGCATGATTTCAGTATCTCATTATCCCGTTACATCGACCTTTGAAGTATAACTCTAATAGTTTATTTTTTGCGTATTACACCCATGTAGGTCAAGCAATTACATAGAAAAAGAAGATGGGCGAACAAGGCGAGCGCAATGTCTATTGTGCGACAAACATGAAGGTGAAAAAAATTAAATCTCAATTATAACAAAATTTTCTTTGATATTTCATCTAAAATTAAAGTATACTTTACGTAAAATCTCCACAATTTGCAAAAATCTCACAATAACAAAGATTGAAATTATTTGGCCATGAAATAGCTCACGTGCACACTAGAGAGGGCAAAAAGGATCATTTTCTCATACTATAACACAATTTTTCGATATGCGTGGGTCTTCGCTCCATAATTTTGAAAGTTTATCCTTAAAGTTTGCGTAATAATGTACATTTTTTGGTTAAGAAAAACATGGATCAAAGACCCATTGTACCTTAAAAACACACTTTTATGACACAATATTCGCATCTTTCCGAGAAATACCTGAAGTCCATTTAGTCAAGGGTCATATCACAAACATGATTTAAATGCCAAAATTCTTCAAGAGCTGTGTAGCGTTGTGGTAAGCGTGTTACTCTCAGTGGAAAATGATACTCAGGATTTTTATTGCTAGGGTTCGAACCTCACGAATACCACATTATTTTTTAAATAACAGAATAATTTTTGCCGAGAAAATTTTCATCAGAAAAGTTTTGATTATCATAATTTCATAAATTTCAATAATAAGAACTTCACTCTAAATACTAAATTCACAAATTGATTATGATTTTTATATATATCTAAAGCTATAGGCATTCTGCGCGCTTTGTTCACACATCTCCTTACATATACACAGTTACACATTTTTAAAAAAAAGAAATGGCTCCATCATAAGTACAATACTAAAATGTTAAAACTTTTGACTGACTATGTCATAGGACACTCAAGATTATTAAGAACAAGGTATTAAAGATTGAATCCGTTTCAATCAATGTTTCAGAGATATATGGTAGCCTGTGCACTATTTGTGATAGACATACGGATAGACAGATAATCATAAAAAGTTCTCAATCCAGTTTTAGGTATAGGTAACTTTTGATGGAATAAAAAAATGCATTAACTAAAAGAGCCCATTTCGGCAAATATTACTTTTTAAAGTGAATTTGTCATTGTAAATACATGCATATCATAATTTTAAGCATAAAATGACTGTTATTTCCAATAAAATGCCCATATGCAATCATCTATTACTCAATGACAGATAATTTTTTTTTATGTTTTTCTCTTGTATATGAATAATTTTCTGGTGTAACAATCACTGACGTATGATTGAGTGGGAACTCTTCTGATAAAGGACATTTGTTTCGCAATTTATGACAAATTAAATACTTCCAATTTTGATATCGAAAATAGAAGTTATAAAACTGTAATATCAGATTTCATCCCAGGGATAATGACAACATAAACATTTTCCCGCCAAATTAACTGAACATTAAGATAAAGAATGTATTTTTCATAATTATTTGCCATTAATCCCAGAAGAAGTAAAAGCACTCTGCCATAAAATAAACATGAGTGAAATCTCTTCATGCTATGATAATTTTTTGATAAATTCGGAATTCAATCTGTTTTTATCCGGCATTTCTTTTCTCTTTTATTAGTCCTTGAACCGAATGCGAGCTGGTTTACATAATTGTGACGAAGTGCTAGTGACATTTAGTGCACCTACAGCATAGCAACAATGTGTGGCCGTAGCAACAAGCGGACATGAATTTCTTTTCGTGATCTATCTTCAAAGAACTAGCAGATATGATACACAGTTTACAAACGTCGCCAGCTCACAATTGACAGATTGACAGTGCAAACATATAAGGAATCCATGTCGAACACACAGATAAAATAAAATTGATTTATAAAGTAAATGACACTTTTCTCGTGTGTGACAAGTTTTCAAAAAGTGGTTTACATTTCCTCTTCCGTGTAATCTATTTATTAGTACTTCTTGATTAACAATATTCGAATATGAGAACGTTTCAAATTGTTTGCATACATGTAACTCATTGTTGTTAGGTGACATTGTGGTTTTTCTATCAGCCAATAAGAGACGCATAATGTAAAAAAAGTGATTTGATTATTAGTAACACAGAATAATTAACAATTATATTGTACCTTTAATTGCTGGATCTGTGGATAAAGTGTAAAAATGTTTTGTTTGAAAATTAAAATTGTAAACAAAGGTTGGCGTCTTGAAGTCTGCAATTTCCTTCCGAAAAAAACTTTCCTTTGAATACATCCTTAATAAAACCCACCAAAGACGAAATTAACAATTTACATAGCAGCACAATTCTTCATGATAATACTAGTATGTATGGATAAGTAAAGTTGTATTGGTTGGAAAAGTATGTCAGATTTTTTTTTCAAACTGTCTTAATAATTAGAATAAACACCTCAAATTTTTATTTTTAAAAATCAAGGTTTTCAGCATTTCAAAAAATCGCAGAGTACTAAGCGCAAGCATCAAATGAAGATCCCCATGACATTGACAACAGGGCTCAACATTAACGTTCGTCCGATTGTACGTGTCCAGTTAATTCTGTGATTGGATAAGTCAATATCTAGACACATTTGTCCGTTAGGACGTTACTTTTTTATATGAAAAATATCAGACAATACAATCGCATGTCATCGGAATATCGTTAACAGAGGAGGGCGATCGACACTAGATTTTGAGTTTTATTTTCGTGATTAACAAAACGTTTAATGTCAATGTTATGATTGTTCTTGAAAAAATAAAGTTCCATCAATTTATTTATATCTGTAGAAGAATCGAACAAGTAAAAATGAATTCGGACAAGTAACATATATTGGCAACTCGTCCGATGGACAAGTTCTATATTTTAGTTAATGTTAAGCCCTGGACAACCTAAGGCTCCTCTTAGCGAGTCGTCTGTGCGGAAGATTTTGGTAATGAAATAAAAGCAGTATGAATCTAGTGTTTTATATACTTCCTTTTGTAATAAAATCCAGTGACGTCAATCCTCCTTCAACACAAAATGATTTTACCGATTCAGAATATTATTTGACATAGAGAAAATCTGGGAATGTGTAAGATGCGTAGTTCTTTCTTCAAAATTTATTCGAAAAAATATTTTTAACATGAAATTACAAATATTCATATTAAGTTTTGAAATTTCACACAGTACTTAACATGCATAAATTGATGTCATATGTCAGCGGGGGGAAAAATGGTGTTCTCAAAATAATAATAAAAAAAAATATTACACCATGGAGTACCAGTCACCGGTAAAAATCTTCTATTTCAATTATTTATGTAAAAATGGCATATTTCACTTAGTAAGAATAAAACCTTAGCTTACCTAGCTTGTTTTGCCCCCATCCTGCAGCCACACACGGAGTTCCGGGAGGAAAAGAATTGTCTGCGTCCAGACATATAACGTTGACATAATCGGACAATACTGCGGGTCTCTCCAGCTTAAGCAGGGCGATGTCCTGAAGAATCGGGTAATCCGCTTCAAATCAAATCAGTAACTATAAAGTCATCAGTTTACACGAAAAAAAATGTTTATAAATGTATACAAATCTCTAAACTACAGATTTTCAAGTCCATGGACAAAACTCTTAGAATTCACTTCCATCCTGATACACGTATCATGACGTGGTTATATTAAAAAAAAATCACTGTTTTGCAATACCTTGGATGAAGAATTGACGGTGTTTGTGTATGCTGACTACATTCAAAATCTGCTCTGTACCATCTATTCCCATCTGGTTGTGTTCCCCAACCACGGCCTTCCAGTTTCTTGCCAAAGACAGCCCTTCACCCACCTCCTCACTAGAGTAGAGGGTCAAAAAAGAAACCAACTCAAAATCAGGATTCAAAAGACCCTTTGTCGCAGTTCTTTTAAAAGGGATGCTCAAAACATTGAAAATTTTTATTTCTCGCTTTATTATATGTACAGTCAGGTAAAATATGGTCTTCTCAAAATCATTTTTGCTAAAAGTACCTGAAACAATGTGCAGCTGATAGCACCCACTGCGGGTGTATAAGTGTAGCCCCACAGAGATGCGGGAGGCGAGAAAGGTTTGTAAATGCGTGATACGGCATGAAGTGGAGGGACACTAGCCAAGGCCACTCCCCAGGGGACGCATGGTAGCCTCCAATTACTCTCTTTTCTCTTCGAACACTCTGATAACGATTTCTCCCACAACTTTCAAAAGGAGCCTCGTATTCATAAAATCCTAAAAATAAATAAATGAATAAAAAGACAAATAAATAAATAAATAAATAAAGTAACAAGAAGCCAATCGGCCTTGACGGGCACCTGAGTATCATGAGTTTTACAGGCTATGAAAAACTGAGTACCACTAAGGAACTGAAACTCTGGACTCACTTGGCTTAAATATACAATTTGTGTGGAGTCTGCGTACATTATAACTTTACAGAAAACTTGACTCTTAGATGTCCGGTATAAAATTTTTCCTTAGTCTCTAACGGGACTGGGCCATGAAATCTTTAACTTTTGCTTTTCTTGATCCATTGACAAAATTGGTTGAAATTGGTAAAAGAAAATAATTTATACATACCGCACCCATTGACTTGAACTTCAACGTCAGTGACGTCACGGATATCTGCGTTCAGAGCTGTGATACGTAAACATGAGGCACGGAGGGGCTTTTGAGACAGGTCAATGAAAATGGCATCATTACTGACAGACGTAAACTCCTGAAAAAAAAACCAATCAAAAAAGTCACTGAGGAAATTTCAATTATTTTTGGTGAAAATGGATTGGATAATCAGCATGCATGAGACATGTATCACATTAGAACTTCTGCTTAAATTACAACTATGTGCGGGAGGAAGGAAAGGTTATATTTTTATGTGACTTTTTAGCATACTGTTCATACGCAATCGAAAAGAGGGATCTAAAATCTATGGTACCTTAGTAACACCATCTTCCCGAATGTGATGATAATCTGCACAGGATCTACTGTAGGACACAGCAAACTTGCTGTCGGTCGGAAAATTGGGCTGAATTGTAAGCGCTGTTATGATTTTCTCAGACGGAAATGTAACCTCCATATTGTCTTTGACGGCGTCTACGTTCCAATCCACGGGATGTGTCCCAATACAGGTACTGGCCTCTGTAAGACCAAAATAGTTTGTAGTATGAAGATCTTGATTATATTCGGTTAAAGATAGAACCAAGGTATACGGAATATAAATATTATTTTGATGACAATTACTATAGGGTAACTAAAAAAAGACTATCTATATGCCATTTGGGGGTTTGATACGAATGTGTGCTAAAACAGACGTACGGCAACCGATGACCTCCATCCTAAGCGCGGAAGCATTTCGATGGCGTTCGGTCGGGATTACTCGCATGCATCTGGCGACAAAAATATTAGGGAACTCTATCACAGCCACCGAGTAAGGATCCAGATTTCCGGCAAAATTCTATAGATGAGAATATCGAAAAAAAAATTGATATAGCCATGTAAAACACTGCTCAAGTTCATGATCTTTAAAATGTGGTTTTAATTTCAATATGATGGACTTTAAAAATGACTTGTGAGGTGAGAATTTGATTGAACATTCCGTTTTGAAGATTGATAGTCCTGGTTCCGCAGTGATGGCGGGATATTCACGTGAATTTAACCTTTCAATGTTTTACTAAGTTACAAACGATGATTCGGAAGAATTATATCTATGCACAATATCTCAAGGTCGTGAGAAATAAAGTCGCATCAAAATAGGCAACTAGTTAAACTAGACCCCCACAGAAAAAAGACTTGAATATCCATCACTGCAGAGCCGATTATGTTTTCCTAAGATGACGGTCTTACTTGATTAATACCAATGTCAAACACTGGATAAAAGGTTATACAATCAACGCTGTACGTCACGTGGAGTGACGTCACCCACTGGTCAGTCTCAGGGTCACCTTGAATGAACATTCCTGTAACCATAACTGGTTGCGCCATATTTATCTGTAATTAATGTGTACACGTATTAAGCAACTGAAAAGAAACTAAACAATCTGAGTGACCTCTGAGTATTGTGAGTACCTATAGTTCATGGTAAGAACACAGATAGCGTGGTGTCTTAAATGATGTGAGGATCATTAGATGATATTCATGACAAATTTTACTTTCACATAATACTAATTAATGACAGAAAAAAGATAATACATGTAAAATCTACTGATGGTAAAACAGGCAATTACAATACATGTACATGTATATAAAAACGATATTGTCCTTACGCTCACGCAGTCGTTTTGCTTTCTAAGTGGCCGAACAGCCTTTTAAGTACCGTAGTTTAATTCACTTTTTCCTATGACATATGACTTTAAAGTTTTCATGTTTTAGAATTACAATAATTTTAGAAGAACAAGTTCATGCGAATGCCGAGTAACATTCTCAAAATATATGATAAATTGCAGACAATGTTATCTTTCTAATCTAATAAGGTTTGATTTTATATTTTCTAGAAAAGTGAAAATTTCTTCGTTGTCTGTTTTTCATACAAGATGCTTAAATTTATCAGTAAAAAAGTTACATATATATTGTGTTGTATCATATTAGCCTGACAGTTTGTACTGTTTTGTATCTCATTAATCAATCTTTTGGTTTTTGTGAAAAAAAAGCATAATTTGAATAAGTTTACTGGATATTAGTGCCGCACTCAGATTATTTCAATAAAGCAACTCGTCCTGAAGTTAAACAATTGAATCCTAAATACAAAATTAATTTTGACGTAATAATATGGACAGATAATAGTATACTGTACTGGTTCCCTGATATTTTTGAACAGGATACAAAACGTAAATGTCATTAATTTGCTTCTCAAATCTAAATTGGGTTAATCGACTGATTAATACATAATAAAGCTAATTAATCACATTTATGAAAACACTCTCTTTATAAAAGTGGGTTAAAATTACCATCAAACACAAAGATCTGTTTCTTCAAATCATTGATTTTGAATAAATCAGAATATTTAAGTTTTGGACGTTAGACGGTGGACGAAAGGCCATGCACACACACCGAAAGCGCATTAACTGTACGGGAAAAGTAGTCTCTCTCCCAAATCCACTGTTTTCAATAATGAATATAAAAGAGTATTATTCAAAAGAATGCAGTATCTTTGTTTAAATTGCAAAACAGGGATTTTCAGAGGATAGTAAAACAAAACTGAAGTTCTTGTGTGTGTGTGTGTGTGTGTGTGTGTGTGTGTGTGTGTGTGTGTTTTTAAACCCAAGATTGCTCATAGAGACGAGCGAACTGCTAGGATAAATTAAAGATGCAGTGTATAAAAAAAGTTTCATTCTTCAAATCATATTAAAATTCTGATATACCGATTCAGTGTATCAATTGATATAATAAAACTGAAAAGTTTTTCGAACGGCATGTATGATCTCTTCAGAACTGAGTGGTGGAATGTCAGAAGTCGTAGGCAGTTCTATTTAACGTGCATCCACTAGCGGACTTTGAGGGGGCAGGAGGCCCGGCCTCCTTTTTTGACCCAAAATTTAGTAAAAAGAAATAAATCATTTTTGATGTTAGATATTGCTTTTATATATGTATAAATCATAGGTAAAATAACTAAAAAAAATGTTCTAAAATGGCTAAAAACGGAGCTTCGCCCCCCTGCCCCTCCCCACCCCTCCCCCAAAATTCTGGATCCGCCACTTGCTTTGCATTGTGCATGACCTTTAAGTGGTATAGCTGAGGTCTTCGACAGGATGTGTAGAGACGGGGGTATAATTGCAAGATGAGGACCCTAACTGCAGTCTGTAAATAACGTCTTCTGTAATGTGCTTTTATAATTCATTCGTGACATTTTGTCGTTTCACTAAGAATGAATCTTCGTGACATGAAACTTGAAGCTGCAGAGTTGATATACTGCATGTCCTATTTATCAAAAACATCAGATATAACGCTGTGTGGGTGTATTTCACGGCCTGTATGATCCTAACGTACAAATGTCTCTCCAAAACTTGCACAAATAACACTACTTATACTACGCATTTTGTGGACAACTTGTTTCATCTTTTTGTATATTGACTGGGGGAAACATTATCTGCCTAATAAATTTTGAACCTGAATTTATACATACACTTTTTTTTAAGTCTTTGTCGGATGTCATTGCTATATAACATGATTTGGGCAACGTAATGAACAAAAAAGTCATAAAGTACCGCGGTATGTGGATGGAAAAAGAACCTTATTTCATATAAACACCAGGTTAAAAAAACATTTGAAAAACTCGCCATTTCGTCGTTTAATTCAAAACTTTTTAAAACTGAATGACTTGCTAATAAGTATAAGCTGTAAGTTGAAGGCAAAGGCAGCAGATACTTGTAGCAATCATACAAAACTTCGTAATGCCTTTCGTAGAATCTTTGTCTATTATCGCGTGACAAAAGCAAACCAATCAAATCTGAGAGACGCAGCTTCAGTTGTTGGCGTAAAACTTACTTGAACATAAGTGTGGTCACCTATCTGTGCGGCAGCCCAAGTCTCCGGACCATAAAGTCGTGCATCAGATGCATTTCCCTCTGTCGAAGTTAGCGTGAAATTGACCATTGTAGCATTAAGGTCGTATGTCATTCCAAGAGGTTGGCGGCACATTGTATGATCTGTAAGAATTGGTTGTTGTCCTGCCTGTAGAAATAAATATATATACTTATAATTATAACATCTTATCATTTAGTTAATTTTTCAAGTCTAATAAGACTATATCCATTCCATGGTCGTCGGAAAGGGGTGGGGGGGTTACAATGGATGCAATCCCTCTTTTTAAAAAGTATATAAAAACCATTTTTCAAACAAATTGAAATTCATTATTTATATAATTAAAGTAACGATGCTAGATTCTGTTTAGCTAATACTCAAAAATATGACGTTCAGAATGCATTAGAACCCCCAATATGGTACCTTTTACTAAACAAATCTCTAACTTAATGGGATATTATTCCAGCCCCCCCCCCCCTGCTCCCTAGAAACCTGGTGATAGACCTGCATGCATTGATTAAGGGACATATACTATATTTTGCCATTCTTTTGGCTTACATTTCTCAATAACCTTGTGCATTATTGATAATATTCATAATAAGAGGGTGACTATTTTAATTAAAGTAATTTCTTTGTCATTTGAGTACATCTTAGTATTTTATGCCTTAATGATAAGAAATGTGCTTGATTAATCTCTAGACTAATCAAATATATTTGAAGAATCCCGAGAAATTTAAACAAGTCAGTCGTCTACAAGCCACAGAATGAATAATGTTACACAGCTGACATAAATTGACATAAGTGTCGAATATTTCAGTATTGAGATAACTCTTCCTACAATGCTAATGAACTTTTTCTAATGATTTTGACACAACTTAGGTTAATGGCTTTACATGCCATATTAATGAATATTTATGAGGTGATTTGTACGAAATGTTCAAGATCTGTTTTGGAAGTCCATTTTAATGAAAGAAAGTATTTAAGAAATAAAAGTGATAATAGAATTTCCTATGTACATAAATATTAACTAAATGCTACAGATTTATTGTATATTGGATCTGCGTATGTTAATGAGTGGGAATATATCACCTGTTGTGTCTAAGTTTTTTACCTGTTTGACGTCAGTTCGGTATAGAGATAACCCTCAGAGTTTAAACATTAACATAATTTTACGAGAATCCAAAGAATGCTAAAGTTCTCTCTAAATATTTAAGATTATACAGTGACACTGATGGGACTACCAAGTTCTTCCAAAATTCTCCAAAAATAGACAAATTTCTGCATTTAATGCATCCGTGTTCGTAACAAATGTCTTTCAAAGTGGAAATAAATTTAACCTTTGTCCATCAAAAATAAATGTAACCAATGTCCTTTTCGTATTTATGAAAAAATGCAGACGAATCATGAAATTGGATGATTTTGTTTCTTAAATTACCATTGCCTGTACCCTTGAGGTTAACAGATTCTAGTAGCGAATGTCTATTGTTCTATACCATCTCAGTCGAAAGCAGAATCTCTTGTATAAGGAATCTGTCAATAACGTTTCCTCATTGCTCTAAACAAGGCCAAGAAAATTCAAATTGTCATTAATTAACGAAATTAACATTATTGTAACGCAATTAAAACTCTGTTTCTTTTGACATGGACGAATGGTAAAAAACCTTGTTAAATGAGGAAGAATTATCCGAATGGCCATTGTTTGTTTTCAAATTTTTAACTCACGAGTCTTTGCTTTCTGTTGGATAATACTTATTTGAAAACAAAGGCGCCAAAGTGCAAGAGATACAGTGTTAAATATAAAAGTCTTAACCGGTTTTGCAAGAGAAAAGCAAAAGGAACATTTGATGGACAAAGTCTTTTCTGAATTAATTCCAGTCTGGTTTGATTTATGATTCTTGTGCAGGGATTGATCATTCATTATTTACAAACCAAATTTTACATTAAATGTATAAGTTTTTTTTCTCCAGTTTTCACATAAATTCCATTCTCAAAACAGGAACTTTTTGGCAAATTCAACATAAGAAATTCGCTAACCTATTCTTTATTTTAAGAAAATGAATGTTAATTATATTTTTTTAGTTGTCAAGATAGGAAAATGCATTCTTCATCAAAGTATTGTCTTTTTATGTCAATGAATCGGCACAACGTTCATTAATGCATACTCTTCAACAAAAAACAATACAAAACAAACTGAGACAAAGATATTTTTTTGCAACTGTCTCATTTCTCAAGTATGGCCATAAATCTATGTTTCTACATTGTAAACTTCAAGATTGCAAACTTGTACGTAACAAGTGATAAAAAAAACCAAACTTTTTATGCATCATCAATTCAAATAAAAAACCTTTTATGAAAAAAAGGAACTGATCTAAAAAAAAAAAAAAAAGCGAAAGAACAATGAAAAGAAAGGGGGCTGCAGAGTTATCCTCCTATATTACCTTTCTATCTTTAAGGTACACTTGTATTTGTGTACATGCCAAAACAATTTGCTGAAAAAAGGAAGGTTTAAATCTTTTGTCAATTTTTCATAAAAAGTAAATAAACTCTTACGATTTTTAAGGGTCAACTGAAATTTGTTTAAGATATTTCTGTAGCATACAGTCGGTACAACTTGTTTTAATTCAAAAAATTTAAAACCAAATTCCTCGAAACCGTAAAAAACCATGTACATGCATATTTGAACAAAGACTGCCTGTCACTTATCATTCTCCTTAATTTGTAAGTCTGAAGTAATTAATGTTTATAATGCTATAAATATTAATGAACTTGTCGTGTATTTTCAGCAAGAATAATCAAAGGAACCTAGGGACCAAAAAAAAAAAAAAAAGAAAAAAAAAGATGATGTAGATCAAGAAAGTGTCACCTCTTAACTTCAAGATGCTGAGTTGCTTCAGTAGATTTAAGTTCGTTTAATGCGCATATATTTAAAATTCAACAACTGTGTAAAATTGAGATGAAATTTAATGATATACATTGTAGCTCATCTGGGCTCAAAGTATCATAACTGGCCAAGTAAAATGTCTCCTTTTTTTTTTAACAATTTTGAAACTGAATATCACAATTACAATTTGTCTTATGTTTCCGTAAACGGAGAAAAATATGAATAGTACTAATAATAATATTTAAAATTTTAAACATTCGAAATCCCAATCTTGTTCGTAAATTTTGCATGAACACATGTTTAATTATCCTTTTTGAAACTGGATTTGACTAAAGAACCCACAATGAATTAATTTGATCTCTTATCAAAAAGAGGTAAAAAAACAACAAAAGGCATTGACTAACAAAATGTAAATATGTGTGCCTCTTCCTCTGGAAGTACGCATTCTGGTCGTCATAAACGATCTCTTTTGCGCATTTTGAACCGAACTCGCTTTCACAAATATTATCCAAATGAATCTAAAACCGCAAAAAATCATTTGAAAAGAATTGATAAACAGTGGAAAACATACTCAGGGCCTACAGCCTCCACGCATTAACCCAAAGGTCAAAGTGCTCGCCTCTAATTAACATTTTAAAAAAAGTAATGGTTATTTCATTGCTTTGTTTTATTTTAAAATCTTCCTTGGTAAATCACACCTGAAAAAATAACTTTATTTAAAATAAAATATACAAAACAAATCTCTGCATGATTTTTTTGTATGATTGGGGGTGGGGTGGGTGGGGTAGGGATGGGGGTTATACCATAAATAAATCTTTTATAATTATCACTACATGTAGAATATAACGGTGTTTAAAATAGAAAAAAAAATCCTTTACCTTCGGTACAATGTTAGTGGTTGAGTAAGTGAAATATTAATTTCAGGTTCATGGAATTAAAATCTTATTCTCTGTATTTTATACTCCAGAATATTTTTTTTTTCATTTTGTACATCACTTTAAGGAATAATAATAGACATATATGATCAGTACTGTTTGTAAAAGTCTCTGGAGCCCTAATTTGCAGATTGGGGATTTTAAAGCTAGAGAAGTCATCTTTACAATGGCTCACACATGCAAGTCATTATGTAAATGACACTAAACAACTTGCAGCACGTGAAATGAAAAATGAGGGAAATGCCAGTAGTGTGTTTATTAAAAAGTTGTTGCAAAGTTCTGGTTTAGCATGCTTGTTTGCTGCTTTCATGTGAATCAATTTTGAAAACAGACAATAGTTAACCTTTCTTTGGAATAAAGTCTAAGATAAGACACTAAAATGATTCGTAACCTTTCGATATTCAGGAAAATTCCTATTGAAGCAGGCGCTGAGCCTCTCAAGAAGCTTTTTTTCAGTTGGGGGGTGGGGGGGGGGCACAATCTGACAAAAATTCTTGACAAGCAAAAAAAGGGGGGACACGGTTCTTGAGTGGTTCACAAAATAAGCATTGTTTTTTAATGTATAGTAAATGTGTATATACTGGCGAAATTATTGAGGGGGAGGGGCACAGCTGTAAATTAGCTTGTTTATTTAGTAAAGTGTATACTGGCAAAATGATTTGCACCCCCAGTTCTTACGGGCCTGTGGAACGTACAAGACTTGTGCGTTTTTTTTTTGTTTTTTTTTTTTTGCCATTTATAATTCGTCAAGCTTACTCATAATTGTTCCAAATACACTTTTAATACTTAGTAAACGCAAATTGACAAGACTTTTTGAGACTAAAGTTTATCAAAATCATTTTTACAATTTCTTTCCATTTTGAGCAATTTCTCTTCCCATCAAATATTCCTGCTATTGAAATGGCAGTTCAAGATATCTTGAGATATCTTTTAAAATGTCCATTTATATGGTTTTAATTGTGTTTTCTTTTGTACATCTATTTGCTGCCGACATTTACTTGTTTCGTACATGTATATATACAGAAGGGGTGGCCTGTATACGAAACAAGTGTCTGAGTGTGTTACACAGGCAAAAAAACTCCATCATATAGTAAACAATGATAGAATTTTTTCTCAGGTGGTATAATAATGTTCGTTATATAGAGTTTTCAGTACATATATATAATTTTGACTTGAAATTTAAAATTAGGAAATTTAGGTATACTTTTTTTTTCTTATCGAACCTTTATTATGTCATCACTGCTGATTTGTATTCTCGACACAGTCTGCTGCCACAGAACACTAGCTCTGTTTAAATTTTACCAAATAAATCCTTCAAATGTCCAACAAACATATTATATCCACCTATTTTTAAAGTTAATATGCGCTTATTATATTTAATGATGTTTTGATATATAGGGAAAAGATATTTAGCCAACTTCTTCCTCAATTTTTTTTTTTATAAATAGGATTCTGGATTTTTCAAGTACAATTCAGCATCACACCAAAGAATATTTTCGGTGCAAAATGTTTAGGATTTCTTCATTTTTCTTTCTTTTTTCCATACAATCAATTTCATTTGACGTTGGTAAGCTTTCACTTTTTGTAAAAAAAAAAAAAACATGAGTAAGAAAAAGGCACTCTAAAGGTTAAGATTTTTACTAAAAGACGCACTTGTATACTTCAAAATCAGTTGACAAGATGCTAATTTTATAGATATTGCAAAACTACAAACCTTTAATATCAAACAATACGTTGCATACACATGATATTAAAATGTGACTTTTTGCTTTTCACTTACGTTCCTAGTTCTGCAAATTTATGCGCATGAAAATCTTTGAATGACTTTGTAATGTTTGTTCGTTTTTGTCTCATTAGATTTATTCCTAGTGTTTATGACAAAGACCTTGCCTCTTCTACCTTTAATATCCAGATCTTTTTGTTGAAATACGTGATCTGTTTATATTAAACATTCAACCCTTATCACAAAAAAGATCTTAAAATTTCCATGTCATTTTCAATAAATGTCAAGTTTATTGTAAGGTAAAATGTCATTTTGGTAAAACTGTTGAATTTCTCAGGAAAAATAAGTAGACTAAATAAATTCAAGCTTGAGGTTTTCAGGGACAGGGGCATCAGCTGATATACGTTGAACAACGGCTGCTGACAACGTGGAAAAACAACGGCTGCCAACAACGTGGGAAAACAAGGGCTGTCGTGGAAATAATACGTGCAATATCATGGTAAAAATCTAGCTAAGAGAGAACAAACAACATTTAATAAAAAACTGACAACAAAATAATAAATATATGTGCAAACTGGGCACAAAGTTGAATAAAGAATTCAACTTTTTTGGTTGTCTACATGTAAAGGATGGGTCACAAATGATGGTCAGGCAATGACATTAAGTCCGACTTAATTTGTCTGTGGTGGTCAAGTGCGTTCTGGTGTAAAACTGTTGGTCCCCGTTAATGACAATGATAATGCATTCCCGTGAAAGGACAAGCAATAAACTGGTACTAGAGAGCGCCAACATTGTTTTTATATTTCTTACTAAAAGCATATTAATGACGGATATCATCTATCATAAGATAACTTTTTTTTGAGGTTTGAGAAGGGTTCCTTATAAAAAGTCATGTACAAGTTGAAAGATATAAACAAAGGATGAACGAAAATCAAAACTCTGATATGATTAAGTCAGACTGATTAATATGCACTGGCAAATAACTATTTCAAAAATATACCTATGACTTAAAAAAAAATACTCACATTATTTGAAGGGAAACAGAATGCCAAGTCTAAGAAGACCATAAAAATCCAAAGAATGGGTGAAAAAATATCCCAATAAAACATAAGAAGTCTAGTGGCCATGTCGGCCAATCAAAAGCTACTGATCAAAGCGCAGTGAAATTTCTTCTTTTATTCTCTTCGCTGTTATCCATCGACAGTTCTTTCGGGGTTAAGTTTATTATGTTATTTGTAACACACAGCTTTAGAAAGTCTTGTGGGGTCCGTTGATGAAAATAGACTGCTGAGTCAATAAAAGACCAGATTCCCTGATTTCTGTATTTAGAACAGTCAACGACAGAAAGCGCCTCCTAGGAGACAATCGGTGTTTCGATACATTTTTTCCTCACTGCTCACGACCAATAATTAACTTTTATAAAAGAGAACACAAATGCGGAAGACTTCGCCAAAAACTCCAAAGAAACATGTCGTTGGTAACCAAAACAACATAAAGGAAAAGTGTAAAGACAAACATAAAATCAACTTCCCCCCTAGTCAAAGTGCGACGAAAGTCCAATTATAATTTGTAGCACGCGCATAGTGTTAATGAATACGCTGATCCAATGAAAGTTTGAATAATTCTGCAGCCGACGACCGACAGCGGTGTTGGGAAAAATGACCCCAGGCAACGACGAACAACTGTAATATACAGTGAGCCGTGACAGTAATAGGGGCTTTATGTCTTAAATGTAAATTACAGAAAACATGTCAAATTAGTTTGTTTGTCGGAGATTAAAAGATCATTTTTAAATTTTAATAGATTTATTTATTGCTTACAAATGACTTTTCTTTTATTATTGAATATACGCTTATGAAAATGGGTTTATTGCGTGCAGATTCAGTAAAAACGCTGGTGACGTCAGTAAGGTCTCGTACTGAGAGAGATGAAGTAGATTGTCCGTTTTTTTTCTTAGGATATTTCTTGCAATTAAAAATCTTTAAACATCAAAACAAATTAATCTAAACCAGTTGCCTTTTGTTTGTTAAACAAGTAATAAATAAAATTGTTGACAATACATGTCCAGCCCAAATTTTGCGAACTGAACGCACCCCAACGCCCTTTTATCAGAGGGAGACTTTTAAAAGTAACAGTTAATAATTTAAATAAATTAGCGCTTTTCATGACAGAAATAATGCTGATCGTGTGAAACGCCTTGTTTAGAGTCAACAAAAAACATCGCCCGGATCTACATTGCTATCATCATGGTCTATCGTACATGACCTCTCCAAAAAAACCTGCATCAATTTGATATGGGAATTTCCGTACCTAATGACCGAGTTAAAAGCAGTATCAATGGATCGAGGCGCTTTCTCGGGGTTGAAATAAAAATATGTATAAATGTTAATTCGAGCCCAAAGGTCTCTACCACTAAACAGTTTTAATGTTACTCAAATTTAAAAAAAAATTAAAAAAAAATTAAAGTTATTCTAAGATCGCTTTTGGAGACAGAAACGTCCAAGCAGCAACCACAATTATATACTATTAAATGGTCCTGTAAATTAGTGGAATCTGGATTGGCTAGAACTTGACTTGTTTGTCTCTTCTGGCAAATTTCGCTTCTTGCCGTATTGCCATCCCCAACTTGCTTAGTCTCGTTCACCCAGACACTCGGCTGTCTCCGTAAACTCCGACGAACAGACTTGCTGCATATCAATAAAGTCACTAAACTCTCGTGAAGCTCTACGATTTCATTTGTGGGATACATGCATATGGCTATAAGGGGAGTCTGGTTGAATTCTAGCATCCATGCTACGCAGAAATAATTGAACAACTTCTTTAATTTGTAAAGAAATAAATTTAATCTATGCAACACCTTCTAGAAAATTTAAGAATTTTCAGCCGGTAAATATGAAAATTATGTTAAGAGGATCGATGGTAAGTGGTAAAAATACACCTGTATCTGCTATCTGTAAACACCATTGACTTCGTTTCCGTACATGATATGGAACCCTAGATGAATATGGCGTGTAAAAAAGGTGCATTATTATACTTTTTGGTAATTCTTATTGGAAGAATTTATTATTTTTTTTCTAAAACATGTCATGAAATATGAAGATAACGAACAGTATTCAATCTCGAAAGTCCAATGAAACGATACAAATTTGGAGCACAGCAAACATAGACCTCAGAATTTAGAGGTGGGATCAGGTGCCATGGAGGAGTGAGCATCCCCTGCCAACCGGTCACACCCGGTGTGTGCTCCTTGTCAATTTCTTTTTTTTTTTCCAGAAAAAAAGTCTTTTTTTTTTTTTACCTTCAATTGACCTCCAGGGCGAAAATGAAAATTCCACTACCTTATTGCACATCTACAGAACACCATCAATCATCATCCAAAAGATGATTTGGCTACTGCATAAAATGCAAAAAGAAATTGACAAGGAGCACACAGCAGGTGTGACCGGTCGGCAGGGGATGCTCACTCCTCCATGGCACCTGATCCCACCTCTAAATTCTGAGGTCTGTGTTTGCTCTGCTCCCGATCTGTATTGTTTTAATAGACTTTGAGCATATTTCATTAAAAAATAACAATAAATAAAAAATCCTGGTTCCCAGACCTCCTCTTTAAAACATTTTACGCAGTAGCCAAATCATGTTCTGGGCGATGATTTGTGGTGTCTTGTAAATGTGCAATAAGGTTTCAGAATTTTAATCTCACCCTGGGGCCAAATTGGGGTCGACTTTTTTTCCCCCTATAACCCCCCTCCCCCCCCCCCCATTTTCCAGAACTCCTCTTACAGTTTAGAGGGATTTTGAACATTTATGACCAGAGATTGGTAATGAATTTATGACATAAAATACTGACATAAGAGGTCTATGGACAGGATCACCTGAGCATTTTATGCTCAATTTGATACATATATATTTTTCTAAATTATAGAATTATTGTGGCGTCTTCCCTGGTTACCCAGATATGAAGGAGAGCATATGAATAAGCAAACACCTATGCGCGGGATTTACTGTCTTATGATACATCTAGTTTTAAATGTCACCCATGTTTTCTGTCTGAATGTCAGGATCATTTTTCTGCTTCAGTATCTCAGGTAATCGTCGTATTCAGCTTGTAATCGTCGAATTCAGCTTTGAAATAGGTTCTAACTATATTCATCCTAAATTTGAATTAAAAGCACAATTCTAATAGACTTGACTCATATATTCAAGGTGGTCAAAGTCAGTATTGAAATAAAGAAAACACTCCATTTCGGTTTTCGCAAAGATGACGTAATAAAGATGATTACCGTAACAGGTCAATCCCAGAAGTGATTCTTTTATCTGAAAAAACATTTTACTGAGAAAAAAAAAAAATACAAAATAGGCTTCAATTTTCTCAAAAGTGCTAATTGGAAAACTCCATTTGTTTTGTTTCATCATATTAAAAAAAATCGTGCACAGGTATCTAAAATAACACTTTAACACGGAAGGATTTTATTTATTTGGCAATACTACATTTCTACGAAAATTGAATTATGAAATTCCAAAATCATTTATTTAAAGTTAAAAAAAAATACTGTTTTGGAGAAATTTAGTTTAAAACGGGGAGTTGGACAAGTGGTTATATCAACTATGGACGTCGTGACCATGATCAGTTCCCTATTTGCCTAATTCAAACTTTAAAAACTTAACTTAAAAAAAATACCAGAGAAACAAATGCAAAGAACAATTTAGCACATTTTATAGAAACATTTACTTCGCCACATCTTTTAAAAAATTAAATGCTCTCTGATGTATGAAAATGCAACACAGATAACACATGATAATTTTTCTGCCTCAGTATCTCAGGCTATTGTCGAATTCAACTTTGAAGTAGGAACTTATTATATTTATCTTTAAGTTGTAATTAAAAGCATAATTTTAATAGTTTATAGAGGGAAGACTTGACTCATATATTCAAAGTCAATGGTCGAATTCAGTATTGAGATAATGAAAACACCTCTTCTCGGTTTTCGCAAAGATGACGTAAAAGATGATAGTCTAACAGGTCAATCCTAATAGAAGTTATTCTTTTATCTAAAAATACATCTTGCTGAGAAAAAAATACAAGGCGCCGATTTTCTTAAAAAGGCTTATTGGAAAACTCCATTTTTTCTGTTTCATCATAGTATAAAAAATTGTGCATAGGTATCTTAAATAACACTTAACACGGAAGCATTTTTGTTTATTTGGCAATGCTACATTTCTACGAAAAATGAATTATGAAATTCTAAAACCATTTAAAGTAAAAAAAAAAAAATGTTTTGTGGAAATTCAGTTTAATCGGGGAGTAAGACAAGTGGTAATATAAACTATGGACGTCATGACCACGAGCAGTTCCCTACATGTTTTGCCTACATGTAATTTAACTTAAAAAACATACCAGAGAAACAAAAGCAACGTGCAATTTAGCACATTTTATAGAAACATATACTTTGCCATCAAAACAAGATAAGTGCTTACTGATGTAGGATTAACACATTTAGTAATAGGAAATCTTTCATCGCAATTCAATGTTGATGAATATGACACAATACTTCCTCGATAATTTTTTTTTCATTTATTCTATTTTAAATACATGTACATGTAATGCATTGTACATTTTTGTAAAGCATTCATTGAAAGAAACTCACATTAGGAATTTAAGATTTCGGACCTTTCTACAAAAGGGGATAAAATTCTAACAAACTTGAATCTTCACTACCCCAGGATGATATGAATATCCCTAAATATGGTTCTATTATTCTTCACTTGAAAGTTTATTTTTTCAAGTTTATTCATAAATATATTTCCAAGTTAATTCTTTATTTTAGCCCTACCTTACACACCGGGGCCATGATTTGAAAAAAAAAATTAAAAACAAACAAACAAATCAAACACAAAAAAGAAAACACAAAAAAAAAGAAAGAAAAAAAAACCGATTCTATATCATGTTTCCAAAACACTAAATAAGTTTAATGCTCTTTTTTTGCTTTGTGGTTCTTGGGTAGGTTTTAAAAGACTCCCACAATTTTTGCGACCTATTGATTATCTCCCTTTTTAGGAGGATCTGGCCCTGTTTGAGCAAGGATATTTGTTATCCAAGGTTGCTTTGTGCGGTTTGGTTAAAAGTCCTTTAATGGTTATAGAGAAGAAACGAAAATTTGAAAAATTAACAGCCAGACAGACCGACAGATCGAAAAAAATTCAATCAGAAAAGCTCACTTGAGCCTCTGGCTATAGTGAGAAACAAGAAATATGTCCATAGAACCTGAATGCCCTGCCCAAGGAGAAAAAAATTGTTTTTCAATATGAAAGAAATGGACCTGTTTCATCGGTCCGAATAATGAAAGAAGGCATAATAATCCTAGCTTTTAAGTCACCTGAGTCACGCAGGTGAACCTTTCTATCTGCTTTTGTGCTTTGTAGGCGTACTTTATTGTGGTTCCCTAGTTAACGTTCGAACATTTTTAGTTTCTTCTTTTGAACTGCTGAACTAATTTCATCCAATTCTTGAATATATTATCTATGGGTAATTGGGACGAAAAATTTAGTATTTCATGGTCTCTGTCTCCTTGGGACCAAAGGGATCCCTGAACATGATCAAAACTATCATAATTAATGCTAATTCAAAATCTTCTTCATAAAGCAGTCA